AGAGATTTTTAAATAACAGAAGAGATCCACTCTTCTTCACAGACTCAGCGGCTTCTGTTGAGTGAGACTGATTTTCTGTATTTCTCTCTCGGTATCTGTGGGGACATACAGCTCCACACAAGTTGCATCACATGCAGAATTCAAAGGCGTCAATCATGTTTAACCGTTCTGATTCGTGTATGGCAGTCTGTTGATGTATGATGTGTAAGAATCCTGTGCGATACAGGTTAATGATTTACAAATGACAGGGTATGTCAAATGTCCATTAGGGGAGTTAAAGTAATCAGAGAACAGCGCTCATGTTAATAATAAACAGTTAATTCTAGTATTGGCTCATTTTGTTTGTTTTTTTAAAACTCCTTAAACACTAGTAACTGTTAGCAGTGGTCTGGAACAGTGTCTGCTCGCTGGGAGATAAAGGGGTGTGTTAAAAGCACAGCCTGTGCATTAGTCACACGGACACAGACAGCCCCTGATAGTCACGCTCACTCGGCCCGTCAATCACATTGGCATGGAAGACTCCTGTTGTGTGCGAGGCCTCCTAAAACGAGGGAGAAAAGGGAGTCCTTAACATGAATGGGCTTCGAAACCCCTGCATGTGACATACAGTCGGTCAGGAAAACATAGATGGCATTGTGACCCGTGAGCATCATCCGATTCTGATAGATCTTTACGACTTCCTCCCTGAGTTCGAACGGATCTGGATTTACTCCTAAGAATCCAACCACGATTTGTGGAAAACCCCAGCGATGCAGCATTTCTGTGTTTTTCAGCATCGTGCACAGTGATGCCCTCCTGGCAAAGGAAGCTGTGTTCTGTCCTTGTTATTACTGATCACTAAAATAAAGTATTGTTGAATTACATTTCACAGCTCTTGTGCGTGTCTCATCAAGTGGCCCTGGGTGTTACAATATTTACAGGACCAGTAGTAGCTTTATTGATTACCCAGGGATAAATGGATAAGAAAATGAAGTGTAACATACAAGTTGTTTAGAAATTAATTTCTATTTTATTAGATATATTACAAAGAAGAGGTAATATATTTTGTTCCAAATATTGTGTTATTTCCACTCGCATTTTTGCCACAGTAGTGTTTCACCGTGGTCCCAGTGAGTAGAATGGGATGCTGAGGTCTGAGATGGCTCGTTCTCTTCTTTCTCCCGAGCTCTGGGTGAGCACACGGCCAGAGTCTGACTCAGGACAGGCCTTTACGCTGACCCATCAAACACTTTTGGCACTGCACTTTTCCCGTAGGGTTTTGAGCACCTCTAGACTTCATAAGAGCAATGCAAAGTTTAGTTATAAACGATATGAGGCCACTTAGTACACCTAACCCATTTGGTTGCTTGTAGCTAGTTGACTCAAGGATCCCGTTCTGCTCTTTTTCGAAAAAAAGTCAACTGTTAACTTCAGCAAGATTTCTCACCTCCACCACCATTCCAATGACTAACTGTGTGCAGTGCACAGACCCCTCCTTCTCCAGCGCACCTGCATTCTTACATCTTACTGTCCATGTTGTGTGTTGTTGGATGTGTTTCTCGTTCTCACGCTCACTGCTGAAAGGCGTGAGAAGTCCATCTTGAGCAGAAAAATACTCCATTCCACGGATCAGTCACTTCCGAGCGGATTTTCATTGCCGGCTCTGAATATCATGTTCAGCGAGTTGAAGAAATCAACAGGCACAGAGTTATGCAGTATATAGGAAAGAACTGAGAAAACAGCTGGAAGTGGTGATATTTTTGTGCTGAACTTTGCACAACAGGACACTGGATAGTGTCCAGAATCCTCACTGATTTCCAACCTGCGTTGTCAGACCTCAAACCAGTGACGTTTCCACCAAAGGCAAACAGACATTTCTTTCCATTCTTTCTGCTTAAACAGGTGGTCGCTCAGCTCTAAACATTATTGCTGTGGTAAAGACAAGAAAACACATCTGAGTGGAGAAGCAGATCCCAAAGCACTCACAAGCTCAACATGAACACATACAGCACTCACAAGCTCAACACCAACACCTTGTTTGGAGACTTTGGTGTTCATGTTGAGTTTGACCACTGCAGCAACAACAGTGACCAGAAGCACATGAATGTCTCTTGTCCTTGCCAACGATGAACTTGCCTACCGGATACATAATTGGGATAGCCCAAAACAGGACTGTGACTGATGAGTGACAGATGGGTCCCAGTTTTGGTTAAAATGTCTGAGGTGTGTTCCACTAAACTGTGCTATGCCAAAAAAAAACATGTCGTTGCCACAAATATTTTTCAAAATAAAATTAGACCAACGTCAGGAGGCAGTAGGCAAGGCTAGTTTCTTATTTTAGCGTGAAAACCTCGCAGGTTCCTCTGAGACATCCCAAAATTGAAACCCTTTAGACAGGTAATATAGCATATGAGGAACACCACAGTGGTGTAGTGGTTAACATTACAACCTGTCCGTGCTGGGGCTAGAGTGCAATACCTGGGCTGCTGTCCGCATGGAGCTTGAATGTTCTCCTGTGTTTTCACTGGTTTGATCCAGGTGGTACAGTTTCCTCTCTCAGTCCAAAGACACACTGGGAGGTTAGTTTGCTTCTGGGAAAACTGGCCCTGGTGTGAGTGTGTGGGCATGTGTGTGTCTGGCCCGCAATGACCTGGTATCCTGTCCAGGGTGAACCCTGTGATGCCAAGTTTTCACTCAGATTGACATTGATGGAACTGATACTTTGATATCTGTGTGTGTTGAAAGGTGCTTTATATATTGGACGAATGTTGAATCTGTAGGTGACGTGGTGTGGGTGACTCAGGGAACCTTCACACATAAAACACTCCGATTTTCAATCCTTTCTAGGTCCAAGATGAGTTCTGCCTTTATTTTTAAAGATGTAATAAAAAAAACGATTTCGGATAAAAACCCCAAAACAGCTTTAGAGAAGATGTTTACCACCTGTCTCTAAATCTCCATTGATAACTGATTCCCTCCTCAGTCTCTGCAGTTTGACCCACCCTATACACACTAATCACAAGCTTATCCTCTCTGAAAATGCACCCATTCCAAACAATTAATCAATAACATAACTGGATAACAATAATACGACAGACACATTCCTGGGTTAAATTTTATCCTGTTGCTGTTACTTTTTATTCAAGAAGAGAGAAAATAATGATGGGACCTGATTCTCATATTCAAACAAACTGGACTTCAGAATCAGCAGTGAGACTCAAGTGGGAACTTTGTGGAAGTGCATTTACACTCAGGAATGGGGGTGTGTATCTATAATGTAATAATGTACTGTTTCTTTATTAGCCCTATACAATTTCTTGCATTAGGAATTTGTCTTTTCACACACCCCAGCTTTTCTCCATGAGACACAAACACAGGGAGAGAAGCCTGGGGTCAGAGCGCAGGGTCAGCCATTGTGCGGCGCCCCTGGAGCAGTTGGGGTTAAGGGCCTTGCTCAGGGGCCCAACGGAGTAGGATTCCTCTGCCGGCCGCAGGATTTGAACCGGCAACCTTCCAGCCACACACAAAGGGACAGATCCTGAGCCACAGAGCCACCACACAGCCCCTTTTACACAAAGGGCTGTGGGAGTGTGGAACAAGCTGCCCTGTCATGCTGTGGACGCCAATACCCTGGTCAATCAGCTGCTAGCGACCAAACAGGGCACACTGGGCCACTGGCCCACCGTCATAAACATTGCTGTTCTTCGTTTATGAATCTCACGCCCGGCGAGATGACCGTACAGTACAGTACATCTATGAGGACCAGTCATGATTCTGGCGGCCTCTAGTGGCTACTTCTGTTATGGAACGGCCTGCCACAAGGTGATCTATTCGCACGCCCTTTGAATCCGATTGGTGAATAAGCTGCAATATTTCTCCATAGGCAAGATACAAAAGTCACACTGAGATATTTCTGTGCTGAAAACTGATGTAATTAACATGAATCTATTTCAGTTTTGATTAATCAGTTTTTAAGATGAAATTTGCCTGTTTATAATTCCTTAGTGCCTTTGACAAATAGTTTCTCAGAAGACCCCGGTGTAATTTTGCACATTATACAGTACATTAAGCAAGGCTATGACTTGTACCAGTCCCAGCTGGGACAGGCTGCTTTGTGAGGAAAAGCTTACTTACTTTTGTCCCACTTTGGAGTCCCTGTCCTGCTCTTGTCCAGTGTTTCAGAATCACCTTTGTCGGGTCAGAGTGGCTAAAGTAAGGTGCCATGGCAGTGTGACCCAAGTTCAGCGGAGTCCTCCGGTCACTGCAGAGATGGGCTGCCCCCCCAGTTCCTAAGGATTACAAAGGCACAGAAGAGACATGACAGATGAGCCGACGCCATCTGCCTGCTGGTAGCTGATCTACAGTAACTAATTGCTGAGGAGCAGTAGCTGGGGGACAATATTGTCATGCCTGCAATGGCCTGTGCCTTTGTCAGGGCTGGTGTGCTCCTGTGTTTTTCTTCCGTCTGCTCCCCTCACTTAATCGAGGTCTTCCTGGGGGTTGGGGGGGTGACATCACTTCTGTAACTCACAGAGCGCACTGAGACTGGCTGCACACCGGCACCCACAGGGGGGCAGCTGAGAGGAAGACATTTATCTTAGGCTGATGCTGGAAGAGGTATTAGAGGGGCCAGCAGGGGGCGCTCACCCTGCGGTCTGTGTGGGTCCTAATGCCCCAGTATAGTGACAGGCACACTACACTGTAAAAAGTGCTGTCCTTCAGAAGAGATGTGAAACTGGGGTCCTGTGGTCATTAATAATCCCAGAGTGTTTCTCGAAAAGAGTAGGGGTGTTACCCTGGTCTTTACCAATCATGGCCTCCTAATAATCCCCATCTCTGAACTGGCTTCCTCACTCTTCTCTCCTCCCCCCTGAGAGCTGATGTGTAGGGAGTGTACTGGAGCACTATGCATCATCCAGGTGGGGCTGCACACTGGTGGTGTTAGAGGTGATCCCTATTACCTTTGAGTGGAGCTTTGACCAGCTTTGAGTGGAGGGTCCAGAAAAGTGCTGTCTCAGTTGTAAGGAATTATTATCAGGTAGTACTGGATGTGCCATACCTGCTGCCTAGACAGCGCAAATTAACAAAGGTGTGGACCCTGTGCAGGTTCCCACATTCAGGGACATCTAACAGCATATATAGATGGCAGTTGGTATATTATATTATATTATAATATACCAACTGCCACCAAAGTCTAGAGACTGGCCTACACCAAGAACCTGGAAAACAATCCACAGAGAAAACCAGAAGCAGGAGACAGGAAACAAGCTGAAACCAGAAGTAACAACCATTTAAATAAGAACCAGAACAAGGACTCAACCGAACAGGAGAAAGAAAAAAAAAGACAAGAAACAGATTACCTGTAACAGGGAAGGAGAAAACCCCCCCCCCCCCAGAAAAATAGAGATCTGAACTCAAACCAGAGATATACAATACTAAGCACTGAAAGGACTGCCAGCGCAGTTTATATACTGTAGGGCTGATGGAGGGAGGCGCGGAGCTGCAGATACACTGGTCAGCCCGTGATTGGGCGCAGCCGTCTGTAGGGTCGGCTAGGCCAGCCACCAGGGCTTGGGGCGCCCCCTGGTGGTGAGATGACGGAACTGTAACACTGGAGTCT